AGGACAATTGCCTGGGGGCAATTTAAGTCAGAATCCTATCAGTCTGTAGTACCACCTGTGTCAAACACAAGGCCCACGGGCCAAATCCGTCCCGCCAGGCCTTGCAATGTGGCCCGCACCGCACTGTCATCACTGCACTCCGCTGCGTTTCCATCACAATGACAGTTTATGACTGTTCAGTAAACCATTCGGCCCGAGATTTAGGCTGGATTTTAGATTTTGGCCCCTTCTCTGATTGAGTTCGACACCCCTACGACAGAGATGGTCTCTGGAGGCTTTGAGTCTTTGCCTGACCCAATGAATCAGAAACAGCCTTTAACACTATCCTGCATTAGATATTGAAAGGTATAGAGGACCTACCTAAAACAGAAGTCACAAACCCAAATAGACAACCAAAATGAGAAAACAAAGAAACAACCCCCAAATGAAAGAACTAGCAAATTCTCCAAAAGAAGAGATAAATGAAGCAGAGATAAGAAATTTATCTGAAACAGAGTTCAGAGTAATGCCATTAAAAATACTCAACAGTATAAAAAAAAAAAGATATAGTAACTATGAAAAAAGAACAGTCTGAGATAAAGAATCACATAACACAAATAAAGAGTACATTGGAAGGAATACATAGCAGGTTAGTGGAAGCTGAGGATTGAACCAGTGAATTAGAAGACAGAGTTGAAAATATCACTCAATTAGAGAACCAAAAAGAAGAAAAAAATTAAAAAACAGGACAGTTTGAGAGCTGTGGGACAATGTGAAATGTAACAATATTAGAATAGTAGGTGTGCCAGAAGAGGCAAAAAGGGAGAAAGGGATAGAAAAGGTGTTTGAAGAAATAATGGTAGAAAATTTCCCTAACATGGTAAAGAAAAAGTTACACAAGTTCAGGAGGTACAGAGAACCCTACACAAGAAGAACCCAAACAGACCCACACCCAAACACAACATAATTAAAATGCCAAAAACTAAAGACAAAATCTTAAAGACAGCACGAAAAAAGAAAACTGTTACCTACAAAAGATTACCCATAAGGCTGACGCCTGATTTCTCATCAGCAACTCTACAGGTCAGAGGAAATGTCATGAAGTATTCACGTTAGTGGAAAGCAAGGATCTGAGACTAAATTTACTATATCCAGCAAGGCTATCATTCAAAATAGATGGTCAAATAAAGAGCTTTTCAGACAAAAAAAAAAAAAAAAAAAAAAAAAAAAAAAAAAAAAAGGCTAAAGGAGTTCACCACCACTTAGCCAGCATTACAAGAAATGCCAAAGAGATTGCTGTAAGGAATTGGTGAGAAAAAGAAACACAGAGAGAAAACTAGCCATACAGAATTAAAGTGGCTATAAATAAGTACCTCTCAATAATAACTCTAAATGTAAGTCGATCAAATGCTCCAATCAAAAGGTGTAGGGTAGCTGAATGGATAAAAAAAAACATGACCCTACTATGTGCTGTCTACAAGAGACCTAACCTCAAAACAAAAGACACACACAGGATGAAAGCGAAGGATGGAAAAAATTTTTCCATGTAAATGGAAAGGAAAAAAAAAGCTGGAGTAGCAATACTCATATCTGACAAAATAGACTTTAAAAACATCATGCTAGGTGAAATAAGCTGTTGGAGAAAGATAAATATATTATGATCTCACTCATTTGTGGAATATAATGAACAACATAAACTGATGAACAAAAACAGAGCCAGAGGGGGGGGAAATATTCTAGAATAGAATAGAAGTAATCCTGTTATTGGCAGATTTTTAACATTTCCTATAACTTTTGTGATATTATATTATGTTAATAGAGTTCTGATAATATTTCTATATTTAAAATCCTTGTATTCTTGAAATATTAATGTTTATTGCATGTAATATTATATGTAAGGTAATTTTTCTTAAATAATTGGTATTTATTGCATGCAACATTATCATATTTAAAATAGTTTTTCTCGCACCCTCCCTCCAGTTTTACTAAGGTGTAAATGATGCAGAATAATTGTATACATTTAAGGTATAAAGTTTGATGTTGATATGTTATATTGTGAAATTATTATTATTATAGCCAAGCTAATTAATATATTAATTACCTCACATATAGTTATCCTTTTTTTTATTTTTATGGTGAGAACATTTAAGATTTATCCTCTTGACTTTTACTTGGGGTCTAAATCCAACTATTAGTTGTATGACTTGAGATTCCTGAATCTCTTTTCCCTCATCTGTAAAATGGGATAATACCACTATTTTCAGACATTAAATGAGATAATATATGTAAAGTGCCAAGGACAACCTGGCACACGGTGAGTAATGACCACAGGATTGACATGGGCTAAACATTATTAACAAAAGACCAAAAATAACATCCTGGAGAGTGGTTTCTAACTGAAAATACCTAAATTCCTAGAGTATATTGTAGTAATAATGGGTCAATCTTGCAGTAGAAGTCTAACTTTTTTTCCCCAGTGGGTTACTAGTAAGTGCTGAGAACTTGAAAGCAGTTTAAAAATACAAGCTATCCAATTAGATCTATAGAAAGATAGCTCTAGAAAATACAGTTTAACTAAATCAAATTGCTACTTAAACTATCCTTAGTGGGTGGAATAAAAAAATGAAGTACAGACTTAGTATTTGTAATATAAGATCAAAGGTCTTATCTAATATCTCTTCTGATATGTCTTCAGTGACTTTACCAGTTTATTCAGAACAATGAGTAAATAAACACTGTAAGAAACTGAATGGGAGATCCTTTTAAAATCGACGAAACAGGGCATCCAGTCTTCATCTCCCCTTAGCTAACCTTTCTGTTAATGATATTCACTTCCTGGAAATCTTAAGTGAATCCTAACCTTCAGTGCTTCCATATTGTATGTATCTATTCGAACTTTATCACCAATGCAGACAGTTGAAAAACAGCCCTCTCCCCGTTTTTGGATGCATGGTTCTGTGATATGTATGAGAGAGCATCTAAAAAAGCAAGTTATCTCTCTCTTCATCACTAATAGGGATACAGAGAAGTTCTACTTTAGTCTTGGTATTTGGCCCAAACTCTTTTTGACAAGGCATTTAGTAAGTATTCCAAAGGCCTAGGCCAATTTGAGCATCACTTGTGGCATTCCTAAACTTGTATATGATCAGTGATCTTGTGATTGTGTAGCTTCCATGATATCTAACAATCTCAGTAATGAGAACAATCACATCATTCAGATTTACTGTTATTACCTGAACATTCACTTTCAGATATAAACATTCTAGATGAAATGAAGTGAAAATGTCCTTACATGTTTGTGTTATCAATAGCAGAATAAAATGCTGCAGTAATTAATGATGTTTGCAAAGTTAATTTTATGTATAAAATAGTAAAATATTTCAATTATTTAGCAAAATAGATGGCTACTCAATATGATTAATATATTTAATAGATTACTTTCTCAATAACATGTATCTTTAAATTTTTTATAAAAATTCAAATAATGTAACATAATAATTAGGTTTAATAATAATTCAATCTTTGCAGAGTTGTATTATGTACTAACATTTATATATATATTAAAGAAAATAACATTTAAAGAGCTGTATTTAAATTTTAGTTACTTCCATTTAAGTCATAAATCTTTTCAGAAAAAAATGACTTAAAAATATCACCTCAAAATACAAAGAGTTGGATATTATATATAAATTATATAAACAACAGATGTACAATAATCCAAATATAATTTCTAATCAAAATAATAAAAGATGTTAAGGCCAAACTATTAGAGAAAATTGAGGTACACCAAACATTTTTGGGTCAAATTTCAAAATAAAAACCTATAAGAATGTCTTAAGATAACTCCTAAAGTCTTGAGTCTATGAAGGCTAAACACATAAAACGTGAAATGTAATACATGATCCTTTTCTGTATTTGAAGATGAATTTTTGAGATTTGCCTAAACTGAATCCTAGCTCCTAGTAAATACCGAGCTGAAAAATGTTTTTTTGAACTATTTTGTGACACACAAAAAGGTTAGTGATGTTATTAAATGTGCATATTGAAAGTTGTCTATTTGGTATTTCTGATGTACAGTATAGTGATTGCAGTAGAAATCTAACAGCTTACAGTGAAGAAATTATTCCTGCACTATAATCTTAAACTTTTCAAATCTTCCTATTACTGTTAACAACAATAAACCACAATGATAATTGATTTTTTTGGATGAAATGATTCTTCTACCCTAAAAGTTCATTTTATGTTAGTGGTATCTGGCTATTAGGTATATCTGTACTATTAGGTATTTAATGGCCTATCTTTATGCTTCTTAGAGAACCTAGTCTTAGGTTGGTTGAATATTTTTACATTGACAGTTTTAGAAAAATCCCAAGTGCTCTACTTCACAATATTCTCTATTCTTTCTTTCTGTTCTACACAATTCAATATTAAATTATTACTGTTTGTACTGTTCACTGTGTTTATCTTCTCACGGGAGAGTTTTTCTTCAAGGATGGCTAATTTAATATTGTATGATGCTTCTTTTGTATTACCCATGTGCCTAGCACAGTGCTGGTCATCTAATATGTATTTACTAATTCACTAAAATCCAAGATTAGTAGCCACCTTTGGGTTATAATATAATTTTCCTCCATAGTTTAAGCTATTCTATAAATAAACTAGTCAAAGCTAAATATCTCACTGTGTGAGCAAATGAAGGATTGCATTTAATAAAACACCGAAGTAATATTGTTTAGTGGTAGAGAAAATAGACACTATATTTAGATTTAAGACACTATAGGTAAGTCACTTACTTTCTTCATGCCTTAGGTCAGTGGTTGGCAAAATGCAGCTCGCGAGCCACAGTTTGCCTCTCTGCTGACTAATGAGTTTGCCAACCACTGGGATAGGGGTTTAATCACAAGGAACAACAACAACCTGCAATTATTGGAATCGAGAGTCAGTAGCTCTACCTATGGTTTCTGCAAGGCAATAACATTATAGTTAAAATACTGAATGAAAATCATAATATTAACACCAACCTGAAAGTTCGAACAAGATTTTTAAGTTGTGTGTAAATATCTCCTAATGTAATTTGAAGAGGCCCCAAAAGTCCAGGCAATCTGAAAAAAACACACATTATATTTCTTTTAAAATATAATTTAATTATATAGATTTTTTTGGGTGGAACTTGCCTAAGTCTGAATTTTCCATAAGTAATAATGGCACTTAGGTGAAGGCAGTTAAGCTAGGTTGTAACTGGTAAGAAGTCATAAGGAAATATTTTGTAATAACCCCACACTCAACTTTGTAGTCTATGCTACAGTGTGAGGCTATGAAATACAAAAATATTATTTTGGCTGCTATCTATAATCTTGTCTCTAGCTGTCTCTTTACTTTCAAACATTAGGCCAAATGGAAAGAATACTAGACAAGAGGAAATACCCTCCAACTGAGAGTAAAAATTGGTATATTTCTAGAGAGCAAGGTGACAACATATACACTAACATTTTAAATGTCGATATTCTGCTGAAACTGGTTTGGCTCAGCGGATAGAGCATCAGCCTGTGGACTGAAAAGTCCCAGGTTCAATTCCAGGCAAGGGCATGTATCTTGGTTGCGGGCACATTCCTAGTAGGGGGTCTGCAAGAGGCAGCTGATCCATGATTCTCTCTCATCGATGTTTCTAACTCTCTATCCTTCTCTCTTCCTCTCTGTAAAAAAATCAATAAAATATATTTTAAAATAAATAAATGTGGATATTCTTTGACCCACTAACTTTTCCCCACCAAAATATTTATTCTGCAAAAGTGATCAGATAAACATAAAAAATATGCTTGTTGTAGGAATATTTTTAGTAATATTAAAGTAGAAACAATGTTCATCAACACATGATTGGTCAAATACATTATGACATACATATATATATAATGGAATATAACAGAATGTTTAAAATGATATGTGGTCCAGCTAACGTGGCTCCGTGATTGAGCACTGACCTATAAACCAGGAGGTCATGGTATGATACCTGGTCAGGGCACATGCCCGATTTATAGGTTCAATCCCCAGTGTGGGGCATGCAGGAGGCAGCCGATCAATAATTCTCATCATTGATGTTTCTATCTCTCCATTTTTGAAATCAATAAAAATATATTTTAAGAATGATAATGTGAATCTATTTTCTTTTTTTAAAATTATTTTATTGATTTTCCTACAGAGAGGAAGGGAGAGGAATAGAGAGCAAGAAACTTTGATGAGAGAAAAACATCGATCAGCTGCCTCGTGCAGGCTGGGCTGAGGGACATCCCCCTCCCAGTGCACGAAATTCATGCACTGGGCCTTTAGTATTTAACAGAAATGTGTAAGTATGAGAACATATAAAAGGCAAAATTAATAACAGATTTATCATACTTGAAGAGCCTAACATATAAAAGGCACTCAACAAATATTAAAATTACGTATAATTTAAAATGTAAAACTTAGAGAAAGGAATAAGCTGCTCATAATACTATGGCTTCCAAAATGTTTTTGTTCATTTGAATAAATCACATAATTAAGACTTCTCCACATATATAACACCTTAAGCAAGGACTAAAAACACCTTTCCATCTTTCCTACTAAAGAAAGAAAATGCAGGCTAAAAAGTTCAAAACAGCTCTCATAACTCTGGAAAAAAAGATTGAAAGCTTCTTTTGAAAGAGAAACCAAAGCTGCAATTTTTAAATGTCATTTATGACTGGGCTAATTACAAGAACAGTAATTTCCACCACAGGAAGCTTAAAACTAAAGTGCAAAGTTGAGTTGAACAAAAACTCAAGTTGCTGAGTGTGAAATTGTTCTATGAATATTTATGCAGAGTGAGTTAACAGACTGTTAAAACTTTATAAAGTCTTATTCCATGTGAAACTGATGTGACACATTTACCACAAATCAGTAACTAAATGGGTCTAGCTTTGATATTTTTCCCCCTGACTTCATTGGATTATTTAGTTAAGTGAGGTAGTTTGGTTTTCTACTCCCATAATCTCAATCTTCCTCTTTACTATGTGCATCTTGTACACAAAACTTAATTTCAGTATTTCCTTGGTAGGATGTCTTAAAAATCAAAATTTCTCAGGTGAAGAAATCCATGTAAACCTTTCACATTATTCTTCACTGTTCAAAATCCAATAACACCTATATATTATGAACCCATAAAGACGTAGTTAACTTAAAAATATTGTAAAAGTGGAATGACAATTAAATACTTACACTTTACTCAATTTTTCGAGTACGATGCGTTTTCTAATCTGGTTCTGAGAACTTGAATCTATCAGTGGAAAGGTGGGATCGTGCTGAATCACATTTTTAAACAAAACAAAATAAAAACATGAATTTACATTCTTTTATAAGAATAATTAACATTAAAATACAAAAATTAACACCTGTGGTATGGCAGAATGAAACCTAGACTTGAAATTTATAAAATTTAAATTCTAGTATCAGTTCAGTCATTAGGTTTATATAAACTTGCCTGAATCATGTGCCCACTTTTGAGTATTTTCTCATCTGCATTAAAAGGAATACTAATACCTTCTTCATTGAATGAGAAAATGCATACAAAAAGACTTTGTAAACTACTAAATACTATGTAAATGTAGGAAATTAAAGGATAAAAATTAGCAAATAATACAAATATATTATGGGGAATTCCGCTTCTAGAAATGGCAAACAAGAAATGGCAAACCACTCCTCCTGCTGAGAACTGAAAAGGCTGGGGGGAAAAACGCATTTGAAAGCATCAGACTGCTAACAAGGCAGTAAAGAATCATGGCTGAGATTCTGGAGAGGTAATTCCAGAGAGGCCACTGACTAATTTCAGAAGAGACAATTTAGAAACTGAGAACCCAAGCATTGCTCTTCTAATAGACATTGGGGCATGCCAAGAAAGGAGAGGCACCAGCAACACTCCAAGTTAGAGATCAGGACTTAGAAGGATCACACTCTCTAGGAGTAAGAATGAATAGGAAACAGGCTGGCTCTTATAGGGACTGAAGCCCATCTCCAAATCATTATAACTCCTGATTGGATTAAGGAGATTTGGCACTAATACAACTCTGCCAGAAGCAAACATAAATACATTCTAGAGGAAGATGTGTTAGCCGAGGTCTCAAATTATCTCTGTAACTTCTACTATACAATGTTTGCTACATAATGAAACACTAAAACAATGTTACCGAAATAAGAAACATTAGTCCATAAAAGTCAATCCTCAGGGAATCCAGATAATGAAGTTATCAGTTTTATTTAAAATAAATGTTCAATATATTCAAAGAAATGAAACAGTGCTCAACTCATTAATCACCAGAGAAATGTAACCAAAAAGCAATGCCACCAGAATGGTGAAAACTAACAATATCAAGTATTGTGAAAGTATGTAGTTATGGAAACTCTCATAGTATGGTAGGGGAATATAAACTGCCACAGCCATTTTGGTAAACCATTTATCATTATCTAGTATAGTTGCATGTATACCCATACATTATGATCCAGAAATTCTAGTCCTAGATACATACCCAACAGAAATGCATGCACATTAGCAGAGAGATATATAAGAAAGTTCATACAGCAGTTCATAATAGTCTCAAATTGAAACAGCCTAATGCTCATAAATATAAATAAATTATTTATAAATAAATAATTTCTATAATGGAATACCCTCTATACTAATAAAAGGGTAACATGCAAATCAGCTGGGACACCCTCACAGTAATGAACGAATAGCAGGCTGCATAGGACGACAAGGCCAGCAGGGGGGTTAGTGAGGGACGACCAAATGACTGAACAGCAGGCTGCATGGGGGACCAAAGGGAACAGGGGGGGGTGGGGGGGGCGGCGGACAGTGAGGGCCAACCAAACAACAGGCTGCGTGGGACGACCAGGTTAGCAGAGAGGGGGCAGTTAAGGGTGACCAGGCCAGTGGCAGGGGGCAGTTAAGGATGATCAGGCCAGCAGGCAGAGGCAGTTAGGGCTGATCAGGCTGGGGGGGAGGGGGGGGCAGTTAAAGCAATCAGGCAGCCAGGCAGGTGAGCAATAATTAGGAGCCAGCAGTCTCAGATTGTGAGAGGGATGTCTGACTCCCGGTTTAGGCCTGATTAAGGGTTCTGGATTGGAGAGGGTGCAGGCTGGGCTGAAGGACCTCCCTCCCCTTGCATGAATTTCATGCACTATGTCTCTAGTGTAGCAATAAAAGAATAAAACTAGAGTTAACAAATAAGTGATTCACAAACATAATGTTGCAAGAACTAAATTAGACACCAATGAACATATATTATGTGAATTCATTTATATATAGTTCAAAATTGGCAAAACTTATCTGTGCTATTATAATAGTCATTCATTTTGGAAAGAGGTAATGCCTAGGAGAAGAGATAGCGTGGCTCTGGTTTACTCAAATTTTTGTCTGGGTAGTGCTCATTTATGATAATTCAATGAGCTACAGTATTGAGCTATTCTTCAATGGAAAAGTTCTAAAACGTTATGCAACAGAGGAGCAGTCAAAGTTCAGGAATTAATTTTTCCTTCTTAAGGCTTGTAAGCACAAAAATGATAAAACAAGTTATGTACTAAGATAGGTTTATACAACTGACAAAAATTAATGTTTCTTCAAACTTAAAATAAAAGTTATAGATACTGTCTAATAATACTGTTGAAGTGATTTCAAATATAGTACTGAGTTAGGCAATATTCTCAAGAAATATAAAAAATTTCTAAACTGTTATATTTTCACTTTCATCTTCTTTCTAAATCTCCAAATGTTTTCAAAGCCACATTTATTCACAAGTCTTTAGTAACAAAGTTTTGTGGTTAAAACCAGATTATTGCCTACTCCTCTTTATATCAAATGACTTCAATTCCCAAACTACACATCAACCAAAATGGGGTACTAGAAATACTGAAAAATCTCCCTGAACCTCAGTGGCATACATTCAGTCTCCATATGTATTAGGTCTAGTAATAATTAATGTCGTTTTCTAATACTTTTGAAAATCGAATTTTTTAAACAATACAACAAAATTTAATCAACAATATAGTTGCCGTTGTTTTCTACTACTTGTGCCCAACGCTCAGGAAGCATTTTAATCCCTCTGTTGTAAAATTCTTGTGATTTTGATGCAAAAAATTCGGTCAATGCATTTTTGAGGCATTCTTCATTATTAAATTTTTTTCCAAGAAGAAAGTTTTGCAAAGAACGAAACAAATGGTAATCGGAAGTGGCAATATCAGGAGAATATGCAGGTTGAGGGAGAACTTCCCATTCCAACTGGCGCAGTTTTTCAGCAGGGATTCTTGCAGTATGCGGTCATGCGTTATCGTGGTGAAGAATTACACCCTTCCGATTAATCAGTGCGGGTTCTTTTTCTCTTAAAGCTTGGGCTAACCTTTCCAATTGGGCACTATACACTGCACTTGTAATGGTTTGGTTAGATTAGGGGTGTCGAACTCAATCAGAGAAGGGGCCAAAATCTAAAATCCAGCCTAAATCGCAGGCCGAATGGTTTACTGAACAGTCATAAACTGTCATTGTGATGGAAACGCAGCGGAGTGCAGTGATGACAGTGTAGTGCAGGCCACATTGCAAGGCCTGGCGGGACGGATTTGGCCCGCGGGCCTTGTGTTTGACACATGTGGGTTAGATGGTAAAAGTTCATAATGAAGAATTCTTTTAAAATTCCACCAAACACACATCACTTTTTTCGCATGCAAGTCAGGTTTTGGCGTGGGCTGCGGAGCCTCATTTTTGTCCAACCATTGAGGCTGCCTTTTCAAATTAACATACAGCACCCATTTTTCAACTCCGGTAACAATTTGCTCTAAAAACGGCAAACGGTTTTGACGAGAGAGGAGCGAACTGCAAATTGTGACTCTTTGATTACGGTTGTTGTCGGTCAACTCATGAGGAACCCATTTTCCAAACTTTGGGACTTTGCCAAGTGCACGCAATTGATTGGAAATTGTTTTTTGTGAACAATTTAAAGTTGTCGCAAGCTCTTGTTGGGTAATTTGAGGATTTTGCACCAAAAGAGCTTGAAGAGCTTCTTGATCAAAATTGGACACAGGGCCTCGACCACTCTTGTCATCTAACGAAAAATTTCCCTCGCGAAATTTCTCAAACCAACGCTGGCATTTTCTGGCGCTAACTGCATCTTGACCAAGAGCACTACAGATGTTTTTTGCAGCCTCACTTGCTTTTCTTCCTAATTGGAACTCGTAAAGCATGCAGTGCCGAATATGCTCTTCATCCGCCATCTTCTTAGCCCTAGTTTTGCAACAAAAACCAAACCAAACACAAACTTTTTCAAGCAAAACTTGTTAATTGCACTTCACACGTTCTGTAGATACCACGTGTTTGAAGGTTCTGTCAATACAAGTCAACGCCAAGCAAGATTTTAAACGAATGTTTAAAAACGACATTAATTATTACTAGACCCGATAATTACTGTTACTGAGTACCAATTATATGACAGGCACTGTGATAAATGCTTTATATTTATTATCTTTAAAACACGTAACAACTGAGCAAGAGAAGCTACTTACAATCCCATTTACAGATAAGCAATCAAACTCAAGAACTAACTTTTCATACAGCTAGTAAAGGACAGAGCAGATATTCAAATCTAGGTCTTACCTGAATGTGTTATTTCCATTTTCTCTATTATTTCCCAATAAGTCTCCTTTAATATATTATTTTTCATTTATAATATCTTAAATGGGCATGTTTGCCAAATATTATACAAACAAATATCTTACCACTCAACTCCATTGCATACAGCCCCACTGAAAATAACACAAAGATATGTACTTCATGTAGAAATCGGAAAGAATACATATAAAGAAAAAGCAAGCCTCTTTACAGGTTCTACATATATACGAACTATGTTTAAAGAACGTTCTGTCCCACAATTAGAGCCTATTTCTACATTACAGAAAAATGTTCCACATTTATGAAAATTTTCAGGGGCAAACTTCAACTTATTTGGAAAACAGTAATGACATTATTAGAAATGGCATTTTAAATGAAAAGACTGACCAACTAAAAAAGCCTTCTGAAAATTTAACAACTATCTCTCCAGTATTTTTCTTCCTGGTCTAAGATTTGCTATGAGTGTTCCATATGTTAGCAATAAAGAAAACTCATCACCATTAAGACGTACCTCTTGTGAGTCTTGCGATTTGGTGGTTTCTTCATTTAAAATGTATTGTCCTCTATAAAACTCTCTGATCCTTAGGTTTAATGTTTCCGTTTCCTTCTTTAAGCTCTCATAACTTGGCAGTGGTTTAATGGCTGTATCTGAGGTTCTGAAAGGCAAAGACGCATCCAAGCTGTCCTGAGATTCCCGCAAGGAGAGGGAGTGACTATCTGGGTCAGAATTTATGTCATCTTCATCAAGCTCTTCTTCTTTAACCAGAGGGGCTGACGAGGGTTTTAGACACACAGAAGCATAATTCTGGCCATACAAAAACTTCAAAGTTTCTTCTGTCTTCCACTCAATCAAAGTCTCCTTCAGTACTTTAAGTAAGTTTGTCTTTGCAACTTCAGGACACACCTGCACTGAACTAGAAGCTGACCTGGAAACTTGGTTTGATTTGACAAATTTCCTCTTAAAATGCTCAGCACTTTTCTTACTTATGCCTACTAAAGTTATTTCTGAACTACTGTATTTCTTTTCAGGAATTTCTGAAGCATCTAATTTTTCTCTTGAAGGACTATTTAAAGAAACCTGAGTATTTACCTTTTGTAAAGGAAGTTCACAAGGAATAGCTTTCTCCTCACTATCTAATCTGCAATTGCCTAACTGCTCAGTAATATTTATTACTGCCTGTTCTTTGTCTTCTTGCTTGAAGTTAGATTTTTGACAAGCTTTCTTTTTCATGATGCTTTTTTTGTGAAGCTGTTGCCTTATACCCTTTGCATTTGGTTTGTTTCCTGGTAGAATGGAGGAAACAAAGTCTTGCTCATTATCACTGCTACTATCGCTATGAGTGCTAGAAAAATTAGATTCATACTGCTTCTCAATATGGCCAGGATTGTCAACATCTGATGTTTTAATGGCCTTATTGAATAACTGTACTTCTTCTCCAGAATGGCCACTGTAAAAGAAACAAACAAACTAACTGTAACAGAAAAGCACAATGTCCCATGTATTTACACTTTGTACCTTTCAAGGTAGATATTTTTATTCCTTATGCAAAGCCTTATTTCTAGGCTTACATAAGTAAAAGCTTGTACACATACCAGTACACACACACTTCAGAAAAAAGCTATAATTACATAATTTCTTCAGTTCTTATTTATTCGATATCATTATCTTCTTTCCTTGTCCTTTCCCTATAATTATTTTAAAAATGTTAAAAGAGCCCAGACCAGTGTTGCTCAGTGATTAGCACATTGGCCTGAGCAATGAAGGGTCATGGGTTCAATTCCTGTTCAAGAGTACATACCTGGGTTGCAGGTGCAACCCTGCCTGGTTTGGGCGAGTGCGAAAGGCAAACAATCGATGTCTCTTTTTTACATTAATGTTTCTCTCTCTCTCACTCTCTCTCCAACCCCTCCCTCTCTTTCTTCCACTCTCTCAAAATAAATTAATTAATTAATAAGAATAATAGCAACAACAACAAAACAACCTATTGAATTATTTTTTTATTTTAGCCTGATCCATTTCTGTTTCATATATCCTTTTTTTAAAAGAAGGGTTTCTTTTGAGAACTTCATTACTGGTTTCTCAAACAAGCAAAAAAGCATATATTTTTATATATGTACACACACACACACACACACACTTACATATTACAGGGAACTTTGTTTAGGCTTTGAAAGATATAAATATAAAAAGAGATATTTAAACATTTTCCAACTCTAACTGATAATAATACAGAAAGTTCCAAAGAATGAAAAACACAAGGAAGTCAGTCACAATAAAAAAATAAAGTTGGAAAAATCAACATTTATCAATGAAAGATATTTACATTTTAAACTCTAGAATTACAACATAATGCTAAAAACAAAAAACAACTTTTCCTTTGACTATATTTCTTCAATTTTCAGGTTTAAAAAATATTAAGAATTATGAAAGAGTGAAGGCAAAGAGTAGCTTTGTCTATACAATCTTGAGGTAAAGAAGGATAGATGAGCAGTTACTCTTACACAAATTCAAGGATAGGAACTTTAAAGATCAAAATGAGGGGGATTCTGGACCAAGAAGCATGTACAGGGGAATGAGTGTATGGAAACTGCTTTCTGTGCAATTTTTCTTTAAACCTAAAACTGCTCCTCCAAAAGGCTATTACATTTTTAGAAATGATTTTTAAAAATAAAGTAAAAGAATGCAGCAGTTTAATAAAAGTATGTGCGACTGGGGAGTAAAAGAAGAAAAATAGAGTTGAAGGTAAGGTTGTGAATGGAAATGGAGAAAAGATGGCAAGTTTATTCAGTAGTAGATACAATTTTTTAATTTAGAATCTAGCCTATATCATAAGAGACTTGTCTCTTGTACATATAATTTTAAAAAAAATAGAATAAGTAAGCTTTCATATATTTCAGACTCTTCCCTGGATTTGAAGTTATTATGTTTTTCTGTACTACTTTGAGCTATAAATTAAAGAAATATATCAATAAGTCAATATCTCTCACTTTATGGCTCAAGTCCATGTAACTAAGGTAGTGACTAATAACCAGGAAAATTTATTCTCAGAGATAAAAGGATGTATTTTGAGAGATGATTAAGATTGGGAAAGCAATATCATGAAGGGATTTTAGGGGGGGGGAAATCACAACTTGGAACCTCTATTAATGCTTTAGACACTCTTTCAAATAATTAAATAACAGATACATTAATGTTTTGAAATCCTATAAGGCTATAAAAACCTTTCAACAATGTAAATTGGCACAATCTGGTTGACAAAGCAGCATATTATCTCAGATGGAAGCTGTGTTTGAGTCATATTTCAACAGGTTCAATTAGACTTTCTTGGTAGAAAGAGCTGTACAATAAATCATACAGAGCAAACACATCATCTTACCATCAGAAAAGAAAAAGCTGTACAAGGCAAATATTTCTTTATGTGGGCTAGAATGAGCACTCACATAATACATCAGTACAGGAAGTCCAAGAGCCCATACCACCTGGTTTACTCTTAATGTTTTTATTAACATGAATATATATAGAAGGTAAGTGATACTGATTCAACCATACCTTTGTCCCTCCTGTAGCAGCTGAATATCAGGGTGCCTGTGACCAACACACAGAAATAGAAAATTGAAGGTAACTGATATGTCAAATATATTCAAGTGTTTACTATAATTACATTGGAGAGAAAATATAAAGAGTTTTTAAAGAAAAAAAATTAAGGGCTAAAGTACTATGAAACTCATCCACAAGAAATCTGGATTAATATCTCTACCCAAAGTTAACTAATAATTTAGTTCAAATTCTATGAGCCAAATAAAGGTTTCCCTGTCTAACCTGCTAATGTAAATCACTCCCTCCTCTAAATTGCAATGTACAATTATTATATATTAATCATGTTCTCTTTTATGACCTAATACTAGAATATTATCTAAATGTCTTACTTTTCATGTTTAATTCAGATTTCTTAAATAAACAACAAGCTCTTTGAGGGCAGATATTATAGAAGCTCTTGTATTTCCTTTATATGGTTAGTAAAATTTTTTGCCCTAATTTCTGATAAAGCAGTTATATTATAGTATAGATGTAAACTACGTATACAGATGGTTTAATTTAACTAGAAGAAAAATTTTGCTATGCAATACCAGTAATCACATTTGGCTGAGCATCATGATGTTAAAAATGGGGAAGAAAAAGCTCTTAGAAAGCCAGGTATACTAGTAAAAAGAAACAAATATAAAAGCAAATAAATCCAAGAAAACAAGAAACCTGTAACATACTTCTAAAGTGACTCAGAAAAAGTGCCTTCTGAAGACTATAAAATGGATTAAACAAAAGTAAGTTTACAAATAAATAAATAAATGAAATGATATTCCATGTTTATCAACAGGAAATGCAATCCAACCATAATTTCAGCAAGTTATTTTGTTGATGTCAACAAATTTATTCTATTTTTATTCTAATGTTTTTATATAGAGGCAAATACCCAGATTAGTTAACACAATATTGAAGAAGAACAAAGTTGGACAATTAACATTCCCTGACTTCAAGTCTTACTATCCTACCTAATAAGAGTAATACGCAAATTAACCATCACTCTGCTACACTCACAAGCCACATCCAACAGCCAATCAGAGCGAGTATGCAAATAAACCCATCAAGATGGTACAGCCCCAGAGAGCAGGAGGGAGGCTTGGGTTTCCTAGGCAACGGGAACATCCTCTAGACCCAGGCTGCTCCTAGCCTGTAGGCCCATAGGCCCTGAGCAGCAGGGGTCCCAGACCACCCCCTGCCCACTTGGAGCCTATGAGTGCAGGTGCCAAGCAGTTGGGGGTGGGGCGGGAACGTCACTGCATCACTCTGCCCCCCACCTGCAGCCACTTGGGAATGCTCCAGCACTAAGCGGCAGTTTGGATCCATGCCCCCAGCCTGGGGTCTCAGGCTGGCAGAGGCATGGATCCATGCAGAGATTCCTTCATGGCCCAGCCTGGGTTCGCAGCCACTGAGTCACACCAGCCAGGCAGATATGGAGGAATCTGAATTATATATATATATATATATATAATAGATGTTTTACAGAAAGGAAAGGAAAGGGATAGAGAGCTAGAAACGTCTATGAGAGAGAAATATCGATCAGCTGTCTTCTGCACAGTCCTCACTGGATATGTGCCCCCAACCAAGGTACATGGCCTTGACTGGAATCGAACCTTGGGACCCTTGAGTCTGCAGGCCATTGTTCCATCCACTGATCCAAATCAGTTAGGGCTGTCCAATATGTTAAAGAAAAAACTCTATCTAATAAAGAGGAAATATGCAGGGGAGAGCATTTGGGGCAAACCAGGCTGTCAAGGGAGGGCAGTTGGGGATGATCAGGCTGGCAGGGGAGTGGTTAGAGGGTAATCAGGCTGGCAGGCAGAAGCAGTTAGGGGCAATCAGGCAGGCAGGCAAGCAGTTGGGAGCCAGCAGTCTAGGATTGTGAGAGGGATGTCCGACTGCCTATTTAGGCCTGGCAGTCGAACACCCCCTGAGGGGTCCCAGGTTGGAGAGGGTGCAGGTTGAGCATGAATTTCATGCACCGAGCCTCTAGTGGTTATATAAGAGACCCCTCAATTCTTAGGAAATACCCACTGAAATACTTAGGGGCAAAGGGCCATAATTTATATAGCTTACTCTCAAATACTGATGCAAATGGAAGTAAAATATTAACAATAGGAAAACCTGCCGGGACCAGTTTGGCTCAGTGGATAGAGCGTCGGCCTGTGGACTGAAAGGTCCCGGGTTCGGTTCCGGGCAAGGGCATGTACCTTGGTTGCGGGCACATCCCCAGTAGGGGGTGTGCAAGAGGCAGCTGATCGATGATTCTCTCTCATCGATGTTTCTAACTCTCTATCTCTCTCTTCATCTCTGTGAAAAATCAATAAAATATATTAAAAAAAATAAAAACAATAGGAAAACCTGAGTACATGAATGTTCCTTGTACTATTGTTAGTTTTAGAATTTTTGATAAGTTATAAATCACTTCTAAATTAAATGTCAAGGAAATACATGTGATTAAGTCACTAAGGTGTTGGGGTTTACTATTGTCACAGCATAGTCCATACTTTCTTGATGGAATTGGGAATTTATTGCAGGCTAGCAAGTTAATTTAGTGGATGAGGGAAGAGTTTCTAGAGGAATATGGTTTGAAAAATAAGTAGGAATTAGCCAGTGAAGAGGGAGGAGCATTCCAAACAGTGAAACTATATGAAAGCCAGCAGTAAGAGAGAGTATAGTACATTCATAGGACAGAAAGAATTCAACATGGCTAAGACATAGAGTTTGGAGAGGGAAGAGGTGAGAAATGAAGCTGGAGATATAGACGGCCAGGTCCGTAAGGGCCATATAAGCATGTTAAGGCATTTGTACTTCATACAAAGGGCAATACAAAACCATGAAGAGTTTCAAGCATTTTAAAATGGATTTGTAGGGAAGAAGGCTACCTCAGAAAAGGTCAATGGGGTAGTGGCCACAGGGATGGAGAGGTGTGGGAGATGTGAGGTTTGAAAGCCAGTGGGAGATGAAGTCTAATGTTCTGGGTGATTGATGAGTGAGAAATGGGAAGAGTGAATAATTCCCTAATCTGGCTAGGGGAATCTGGTATATGTTGCTACTGTGTTTCCCTGAAAATAAGACATCCTCCGAAAATAAGACCTACTTACAGGTTTCCTTCTGAGTGAATATAAGGCATCCCCAAAAAAATAAGCCCCCCCCCCCCCCCCCCCCCCCCGCCCAGGAGTCACAAGAAATTGACCAGGAAATTCAGGAATTGGATTGTTATGATGATGTTCCAGAAGATGATGACATGATTGTCATTGAATAAATGAGTAAATTCTTGATACTGTAGGATTCACAGTTTGTCTGGTTTGTGTTGACAACTACCGTACTACCGTACTGTATACAGGTAATAAATTTCCTTTATTTTCATTTAACAATAAATGTGTACCGTATTCTTCTTCATGGAAAAATAAGACATCCCCTGAAAATAAGACCTAGCGCATCTTTGGGAGCAAAAATTAATATAAGACACTGTCTTATTTTCGGGGAAACAAGGTACCATTCTCAAACTAAGAAACACAGGAAAAGAATCAGGTTTGTCAAGAGAAAATAATTTCAATTGGGAGCTCCAATGGAAAATGGCCAGGAGGCAGCTGGATGAATGGGCAGGAAGCTCATAAAAGAGATTAAGCTGCAGATAGAGATGTGGGGCTCTTGGCATCTTTATGGGAGTGGTAAGGCCACCAGCAAGAGGGAAAAATGGAGAAGAGGGCCCCAGGCAGAACCTGCATGGACAGTAGGAATATGAATGCGTAGAGTAGGGGTGTCGAACTCAATCAGAGAAGGGGCCAAAATCTAAAATCCAGCTTAAATTGCGGGCCGAATGGTTTACTGAACAGTCATAAACTGTCATTGTGATGGAAACGCAGCGGAGTGCAGTGATGACAGCGCGGTGCGGGCCACATTGCAAGGCCTGGCGGGACGGATTTGGCCCGCGGGCCTTATGTTTGACACATGTGGCGTAGAGGATTTGACACTAATTGATGTTTCGCTCTCTCTCTCTCTCTTAGCTCCCCTTCTTCTCTCACAAAAAAGAATAGAAAAGAAAAACAAATATATACATATGGCAAATAAACATATACAAAGATGCTCTACATTAGGGGTGTCGAACTCAATCAGAGAAGGGGCCAAAATCTAAAATCCAGCCTAAATCACGGGCCGAATGGTTTACTGAACAGTCATAAACTGTCATTGTGATGGAAACGCAGCGGAGTGCAGTGATGACAGCGCGGTGCGGGCCACATTGCAAGGCCTGGCGGGACGGATTTGGCCCCAGGCCTTGTGTTTGACACATGTGCTCTACATCATCTCATCAGCAAAATGAAAATTAAAATGAAGCACCACTATATACCTATTAGAATTCCACAGTGCCAGTATAAAGAGGCTATTACCACACTTGTAAAGCTATAATACTCAAGATAGTGTGGTTATTGGAGAAATAACCACAAATAGGTAAGTAGAATAGAATAAAAAGGTACAGAAATAGACCCGTCCCATATAATAAAAGCCTAATATGCTATGTGTCCAGTCATCCAGTCGTCCATTTAAGCAATCAAAGTGTAATATGCTAAGACTGCTCAACCGCTCGCCATGAAGAGCACTGACCACCAGGGAGCAGACAGTTGCCCAGTCGACCAGTCACTTGATGTGCACTGACCACCAGGGGGCAGATGCTCCAAGTGTAGGTTAGCTTGCTGCTGAGGTCCAGCTGATTGGGACTGAGCAAGATGGGCCAGACATGCCCTGAAGCTCTCCCACACTCCCTCTCCAGCTTGCCAACCACCCAAGTCCCTCCTCAGCCCCAATCATGCACTGGTGGGATCCTTCAGCCTGGCCTGCGCCCTCTTGCAATCCAGGACCCCTTGGGGGATGTCAGAGAGCCAGTTTTGGCTGGATCCCACAGGCTAGGCCAAGGGACACCACTGGTGCATGCATTCATGCACCAGGCCTCTAGTGTGAATATAATCAACTGATTTCTAACGAAGGAGCAAAGGCAACAAATTCAATGG